TAGTGTGCGTGTGGGGTTTTGTGCCACTAAAAGGTTTTGTCAGCGTTTCAGAGATTACAAGCACACTCTCATATTGGTTAAAATTGGCAATGTATTTTGGATTGTATCCAGCTAAATTATAGTAGACCCAAAGAAATTAATGGACCTAAGTCAGCCAAGCTCATTAATTTCAATTGCTGTACTCTCTGTATGACTATCATTGGCTGCAAGCCTGTGTAAGTTCCATCTATAAAGAATGACTATCAAAATAATTTATTACAATGTAGGACAAGGATGCAGAATCTATGGTTCTCCAGATGTTGCTGGCCTACAACTTTCATTATCGCTGACTACTGACCATGCTGGCTGGTGCTGATGGGAGTCCGACAACATCTGGAAGACCACAGGTTCTTCATCATTGCTGTAGCAAAGATATAAAATGATTGACAGGCTCAAGAGTTATAGCAATACCCATCTGGAAGACAAGAATGACAATTATTCAAAATTCTGGCGAGGATTTCATTTTAAGCATTGCAACTTGGGTGCAGACATTTCTCATAACAAGTCTTCTCAATTCACTGTAGAACAGTTTAACCAGACAAAGCAATTATGGAAAGACTACAGTTAAAAATAAAATTTCTTTATTTACCAATTTTCTACAAAGCACGTAGTAAAAATAAGTCACGTGACAAAAAACCAATATTGCACAGTAGACAGAAAACATTGTTTGAAGATGGAAACCCCACACATTAATGAAGTTCTCTCAGAGTGACCAAGTATTTTTAAGCTAAAATAATCTACAACAAATCTGGTTTCAGAATCTTGCCTAAAAAGAGAGGCTTGCAATTTAAAAAATTTATAGGAAAATATTTTAGTACTATTCCTGTAAATAAAATAGGTTTTAAAACGATGTAGACATCTTTATGAAACCACCCATTAAAGGATTTAACAACTTTTCTCCCTGGCCTCTCAAAATCGTCGTGAAAATGACCACACATACACGTTGCAGATGTCTACAAAAATAAATTTACACCCATAAGTCCTATACTAAATACTTAACCACACTTGTTACACCAGTAAGCTTCAGAGAGGACTTGGCAGGTGTGGTGAGACTCCCACCTCCAGCGCTTTAAAACATACCCTCAATGCCATTTCACAAGGCTGCTTTTGAAGCTCTCATAGTAGTTTCACCATGCAGTGGGTGGCTGCTATAAAAGAAGAAAGTCACAAGCCCAAAGTTCTGTGGAGTGTGGAATTAATCACATGACACTCTGAATTTTGACACTTTTAAGCACTGAAAGTTTTCCATGTGATTTAAAAATTACATGTAAAGCCTGTGCATAAGTGACTGCAGAATCAGAATTTAAGTACATGCCATTCGATAAAGCTTCATTTCCTCAAAATGGCCCTCCTCGTGTTATGCTAAAAATGACCAATTTAAGTGCAACAGGATATACACAACATGTTGATGTGTGAGCAGCATTAATAAGTTCAATTACATAGTTTACAATGAGGAAAAACTACATCAGGCTGGGGTTCATAGCTACATGCACATAATGCCACAAGTTGCTCTGAGAGAAGGTTGCAGATAAAGCAAGTATTATTTACCTCTTTCCCGAAATACAAAAATTAGAAGACACCAGAGCAACAGAAGCAAGCTGAAAATCAAGATACTTGGGGTACCCGGTGATGTCTGCCCTCTTGAAATCTGCTTGTACAATGGGACTTATGGTTTCTTTTCCCTCTGTAATCCCCTCCAATATACTCCTGAGTGTTCCTCAACCCCCTCGAGCAGTTTCTGGGGGTACACAAGGGAAGGAGAAGCCCTGCTAATGCTGCGTTGGATTTCACCCTTATTTTATACAACTCACAATTAAGTTGGGCAATTTATTGGTTCAGATAAAGTTGACTGCTAGCTGATTGCGGAAGGCAGACTCACATTCAAAAACGCCTACAAGCTTCTGACTTAGCAGGAAAGCTTGGAAACAGCCACCATCATCACAGCAGCCACCCAGGAATAAATGAACCCATGATTATCCTGAGACGACTTCTCTTTGCTAAAGCATAGGTTACAATATGCTGTCGGACTGTATCTTTGGCTCAGAGGACCATTGGCCAGATCGTCTGACAGTTCTTACGTGCTGGTATCAAGCATGGCATGGCAAGATTCTTGGACATATAGATTAGTATGCATATGTACATTTATGTCTATTTTATTTTACTTATTAAATTTTTACACCGCCCTTCATCCAAAGATTATAGGGCTGTTCCCAACATAAAAATGAGAACACAAACTACATATTAAAAGAAAAACAAAGCAATAACCCGCCCCCCCCAATACATTTAAAAGGCCATAGAATGTAAATCAGCCCAAGGCCTGGACGTTGAGAAATGTTTTTGTCTGGCATTTAAATATCTGTAATGAAGGTGCTATGCCAAATTCCCTGGGGAACTACTACAGAAAAGGCCCATTCTTGTGTTGTCGCCCTCCAGACCTCTAGAGGAGGGAGCACATGAAGAAGGGTCTCAGATGATAAATGCAGGGTCTGGGTCAGTGCAAGTGGAGAGAGGCAGTCCTAGTTACCTACATAAAAGTGATTTTTATCTCGTGACTAACTCCTGAAATCAGCTCTGCTATTCAGCAACAAACAGCATTTTCTATACAGTACTAACACTTCAATCTTTGGAAATTAACTTTAGGGGCACAAATAACAAAAATGATAAATCTAAAAAAAGCTTGAATATTAACTGAATGCAGTTACGGATATCAGATGTACATTAACGCTCCAGTTACAGATGGCTTTCTAATATGATTTTATACCATTCTCCACACCACAAGAGGCCACAATGCTAATGACATATAGTCAATGTAGTATAGTTAAAGTGACTACTGGGTCAGTGGAGAGGAAATTGCCTGTAATCCAGCAGGTAAGAGAGTGCCAGTTGTTTGAGAAGGCAAAGAAGAGGGGCAATTAAAAGCTGAAATGTGTTCTGGTCATGTTGAGCCATGTTTCCTCAGTGGCGGACTCCTTCACTTAACTTATCCTCTTATTTAAATATATGCAATCATTGCCAGCTAAATCAGTCTTAAGATTAGTTTCTCCCATTTGGGAAAATAGCTCCTTTGGTGCAGAACTCCCACCTTCAAGGGGTAATTTTATTTTTTTTGGATACTAGCAATTTTTTGTATGCTTCTCTACAAGATTGTTTCTGAACTGACAATTACTGATGGCTGATAAAATATGGGAATTAGTGGGAACAAACATCAATTAAAACATTTAACAAACAAGTCACTGATGCATATTTCAAGAATAATTTATTATAATTTTGGATCATAGATCATTGAAAAATAGGATAGGAATGGTTTGACACTGGTGTGGGGTGGGCGGGCTACCAGGGATTTTTCATGCATACAACCTTTTTTTAAAGAAGCTAAACAAATTACTGGATATCTTAGAAAGTTGAAATTATTTGAGTTGCTTTTAACAGTAAGTATCAGAATACCGATGGGATTGGGTGAAGTTAGGTTTGGGAAACATGCATGATTTTATCCGCTAACCTGAAATTCATTCAAAGGTAGAAAATATGCCATTTATTTCTAAATTATGTGTCACTGAAAAAAGCAGTCTGAAAGAAAATTTTAGGATGGCACAATATTTTGTGAAATTCTTTGCTGTATCCATTCAGGCTCCGAGTATATCCTCCATAGTTTTGAGGCATCTGATCAAGGCTTGTATTTTAAAATGAGCTTAAAAAATACATTTGCAAATGTTTGTATGTTTCATGCCAGACATAAAGCAGCTGGCTGAGTACTCTGGCAGTTGTTTATCTTCTTGATCAAGGGCCCCCCTGATCTATAGTAGTACCTTAAAGTTGTAAAAGGAAATTACAGGCTGGGAGCAAAAGGTCATACTGACCATACAAATTACAGAATACAATCAAGCTGCAAAAACACAATTAAGAGTTGGTAAATAGTGAGATTTATTGTTTAACAGAAAATAATACTAGGTGCCTCCCATTAGACTTGAGCCATATTTTCATAAGGTTAAAGGGCAAGAGCTAATAGGAACAGCAGCTGGCTTGAAAGGGGGTGTAAATTTAAGGGGTTGCTTTTGGAAACTGTTTTTACTAAGTTCCTTTCCTTCTAAAAAGCTATATATGTTAATGTATGAAATATATTGGCTTAATGTAATTATGCAAAGGATTTAGAAAGTAAGAAATGTTAGATTCTTATGTTAGATTTTTATTTCATTGATGGTGTGTGAGAAGGTGAACCCAAGATCTCTGTTTAAGATAAAAATTAAAACCATGAGCCATCTGTTTTAGCCATCTGTTTTGGAGTGAAGGGGTAATAGGGCAATAGGGCAAAGATGATCTGGTAATTAAGGTGCCTTGTCGAGGCAAATGTAAGATATATGGTTACTTGTCTGCCATTTATGGATAGAAGGAAATATAGCTCTTTGTCTCCCATAAAAGGTAATAGGAAATGGGTGTATCTTTTATGATTGGTTCTAGCAAACAGCCAATAGGAATTTCAACCAGGCTGATTGGACAGAGGCAGCCAAAGGAGGAGCAAGGGGGCTGGGCTGAGGAAATATAAGTGCTGGCCATCAGGGCTGGAGTGGGCAGAGCTTTGGTATCCATATACCACTGTGTCTCTCATTTATTTGTCTGATAAATAAATTATTATTTTAATTTCTCTATTGCTGCATTGAATATTTCATTCCAGCTAAGCGTTAACCACAAGCAGGGTGCTACAGTTTTAAATAACGGATATTATACTTCTTCAGCAATGACTGGTTGAGGGATGCAGCCTCTCAAAGAGATTAATCACAAATGACTTTTTTCTAGAACAAAAAATCCATTTGCTTTATATAAAATTAGATCCATTTCACAAGAAACAAACTTAAAAACCCTGAAGATCTAATGATGTACTGCAATAGTTATAAAGCAGATCATGTTCAAAATGGATCTTCATGGATTAAACATTTTCACTGTTGACATGGTTCAGGGTAGTCGAGCTATTCCCCCCCAATGGCTTCATTCATTTCATTAAGCTCCATTTTATGGATTTCTTCTTCATCTTGTGCATACAGTCTGCTGTTAACATTTTCTTCACAATAAATACACTCCTTCAAAAAAACAAGAAAAAAAGTAACTCACATTTCCTTCCTCAGTGGCATCTTGTAGTTTGACATGTTACTAGAAATACCCAACAGCATGAATTTTAAAAGTGTCTCCCATACTATGTCTGAAATCTTGTGCACACAAACCTGGGAGTAAACCCAGTTAAATACAATGCAACTTGATTCTGCAAAAACATGGTTAGGGTTACACTGCAAATATGGTTCTGAGTGCTCCAATTCTGTGAATAAAATAAAATAATGCTTTTATACTGAAAGAAGAAATAGCCATTGAAACATACCGAATTAGTAACAGCCCCCGGTAGTCCACCCTTCTGAATCCATGGATGTACTTCCAGTAGCTCTCTCTTTTGTTCCTCCGTAAATTTTGGCTGGAACTTCTGCATTTGTTTCAGTTTTAGTTTGTCATCTTCTAAAACAGTTTCTAAGTTTCTGAAGTAAAATATACAAACAAACCCCTTTCAGGTCTTCAACTACCCGAACATGCAGACTTTATAAATAGTTGATTACTCTGGAGCTCAGGCTTCCTGCCATTGCAGATATTATGCCAAGCACCCAAATGCCAAGTTCCATTTTGTCTGAGAAGGTAAATTAAGTTGAGGGAACTAGGAGAAGATCATCATTAGCACATTTGCTAAGGCCACATCCGCACTAGACATTTAAAGCACTACTATACCACTTTAACAGTTGTAGCTTCCCCAAAAGAATCCTGGGAGCTGTAGTTTGTTAAGACTGCTGAGAGTTGTTAGGAGACCCTTATTTCCATTAGAGAGCTACAGTTTCCAGACTAGTTTAACAATCAACCCCTCTTCCTAGGAAATTCTGTCAATTGTGGCTCCTTAGAGTCTCCTAACAATTCTCAGGACCCTAAGCTGTAAAAAGTCAGCCCCTACATTCGTGTAACACAGATTCTGCATGTTTTGACCACTGGAAGACTGTTACATGCCATAGCACAGGGAAGTATATGTAAATCAACAAAGCAAGGATATCCTTAGAAAAACAAGAAAACTGATTGTCAGCTATGTTGGGTGAATAGAACTGATCATCAAGAATTAACAGCTCCTTACAACTGCTGAGTATGTAAAAAGAGAATCAAGTATTTCAGGTGTTGGTGTGGACTTTCATGTTATACAAAATACTTCAAGAAAAGGATGGTTATGAATGGTATATATATATATGAAACATTATTGGCATTTGAAATTGACACTAACTCACTTCACTGTAAAGAGGATGGTTTCCCTATTTTATTATATTTCTGTATATTATATTTCTATTTGTTAATTAAGTTTGGTTAAATTGGAGGAAAGAGGCAACAGAAAGAAGTTCTGAGAAATGAAATCTTTTAGTGCTGTTTCAAGTATACATCTACTTGAAGTGGTAGTTCACAGTGAAAGCTGCTTTAAGTCTGAACTAACGTTGAATTACCGGGAGGGTATCTGGTAAGTCATCATAACAGTGTCATCTGTGTTTGCCATCAGCCGCCAGATGGGATCCTGGAGGACATATTTAATGAACTGCTCGTTTTCTTCCAGTTCTGATTCCTTTGTTTTCTGATTGTTTTCTGATGAGTCAATGCTCCCAAAATATTTGCTGGTATGACTTGTTTCACTACTTCCTTCAGAAACAACAATAAAAAAGTTGTGCTTTTAATTAAGGAGAACAGATTTTTCATTGAAATAGCCTCATGATTTCTTAACCGCACACATGTTGTTACCTGTTCCACTGCCTGACATGCCGCATCCATTTGAAACTGAGCCTAAGGACTCAGCAGCTGCTGAAACACCACTTCCTGACAAAGCAGACCCAGTGCCTGAACTTGCATCTTCCTGGAGTAAAATATCAAGTAAATCACTAGATACAGAGAAGGCATCACTATTTTGAACTTCCATTGGCGATCCAACCTGAACAATGAAAGAACAAAACCACAAAAAACAAACTGTCAATTCAAAAGGTATTTTTTGTTGTTCATAACTCCAGTTCCTAATCTAAGATTATGCAACAAGATGATGATGATGTATTACATTTGTATACCACCTTATATCTGCAGGTCTCAGGATGGCTCACAGGATAAAACAAGAGCTTGAGATTCATTTACAGTTGGCTGTTTTATTATGGTTTGTTGTTTATTAAAGTAAAGGTATAGGTAAAGGTACCCCTGCCCGTACGGGCCAGTCGTGTCCGACTCTGGGGTTGCGTGCTCATCTCGCTTAAGAGGCCGGGAGCCAGCGCTGTCTGCAGACACTTCCAGGTCACGTGGCCAGCGTGACGAAGCTGCTCTGGCGAGCCAGCACCAGCGCAGCGCACGGAAACGCCGTTACCTTCCCACTATAAAGCGGTACCTATTTATCTACTTGCACTTAAGGGTGCTTTCGAACTGCTAGGTGGGCAGGAGCTGGGACCGAATGACGGGAGCTCACCCCGCCGCGGGGATTCGAACTGCCGACCATATGATCGGCAAGTCCTAGGCACTGAGGTTTTACCCACCGCGCCACCCGCGTCCCATTTTGTTGTTTATTAGTGTTTTTTAAAAGCTTTAAATTATTTTGCATTATATATTTTTGTCTGTACTGTAAAATGCCCAAGATTTTCTTTACATTGGGCAACACATAAATTTAAGAAATCTAATATTAACTAGTACAAATCTTCCCAAGGAACATGCACAATTTGAAATTGTTTTAAAATGGAATTGTTTAAAAATTGAGCTTATTGAAAGAGCTCTCCATGTGAATAATTAGATAAAAATGTTGTTTTTTTCCAGACAGATATTTCCCAGAAAGTTACAGACAATGCTTACAGGGGAAGATGCTTTTCTGTTGCAATCATCTGAGCTCATGGGTTTGCTCGTCACCCGTCCATCAGTTAAAGTTCCATGGCTTCCTAGTGTACCAGCAGCACCACTTTCAGCCACTTTGGGCATTTCTTCTAATTGCAGAAGGTTCAACTGTAGAGGAGAACTGCACCTGGACTGGAACAATGGTGGTGAGGCTTGACCTTGTGGGCCAGGAGACTGTGGAGTGCATGAACGGGATTGCTCATTTCGAGATTCTACAACAGTGGTCTTTTCACTCCCTGCCAGTGGATTATAGTGGAACGGTTGAGGTGGGAATGTGTTTGAGGCAGTGAATGGAGGCTGTGCTGTAAACACTGCTTGGGAAGAGAAAGAAGGCTGAGCAGGAAAGCTAGGTGGATCAGGATAAAGTGCTTGAGGGATCCCATTGTTCATTGGAGGATACATGTAGTTGGGGAGTACAAGTGCTACCACTGGAGTCATCAGAGGGTTGGGAAACTGTGATAATGGCAAGTGACAGGGATTTCCCGAGTCCTGCGATTCGCTGAAAGCAGAAAGAGGCGCTTCAGGACCTGGTGGCACAGTTCCTGTTGGTGGAAAAACTGGAAGTGGGTATGTAGACATAACTGTTGGAAAAGGCATTCCTGGATAACTTGCTTGAGAAGTATCTGACGGAGACCAGGCTGTGCTATTTGGGACAAGCCGGGGAAACCTGTGTGGAGGTTTGGTACCAGAAGTTGTGCTGTCTGAAGAATTGTGTGGCTTCTGTCGTTTTGGCTTAGATTTCCTGTTCTTCCCATTTTTCTTCCAAGACTGATCTACTCCAGAGCCATGTCGTGGTCCATGAACACCTGGAGAGAAAGGCAGAAAATCTATTCAACAATGCATCTAACTTTTAAAAAGGATGACATTAATACTCAAGCACATCTTTGGACCAAAAAGCTATTTCCTGTAAATTCTAGATACGTGGAAACTGGCTACTGCTTATAAGCAGACGAGAGACACTATGCACACATTTAGAGAGACATTCTTTTCTTCACAGTTACCAGGGCTGAACTGGTATTTAAATGAGATTCCAGTTCTAAGCTGTGGGGAGCCCCAACACAAATCATGTCTCTTCCGCCATTTCATTAATCCTGTGTTCCACACGTTATGGCAAACCTCTAAGCTAGAAGAACAGCACAATCCTATGCATGCTTGCTCAGAAGTAAGCCTCACTGTACCCAGTGAGCCTTGCTCCCCAACATGTATGCTTAAGAAATAAATTACCTTCATTATTTTGAACACAGTAGCAAATCATGTCCTCTTTAAGTCATGGAGAAGGGGGAAACTATGCATCACTGATGATGTGAGTTTAATCCCACATCCACCTGCTTAATACTTCTAAGGTTGCATATTGAGTTTCTGGAGCAACCAACTGTCAGCCAACTACAATTTGGTTTGATAGTAAGACTGAACTTAACTAAGCACCCTGAACTGCCTATGCACATTTGCAACATGTCTAACTGAGAATGGGTTTCTTTCATTCAGATGGTGTTATGAGGCTATAAACAAAGAGAGCCGTACCACGGTTACCAGGTTGTCCTTGGGGTCTTTCTTGAAAGTAGTAACTGCAATTATACTGAAAAATATGGAACCTTTTGATTTCTTTACATTTGGTCAGAAAGCTCTGCTCTTCTTTTTGTGTATGCACTGCAAGGACTTCCTTTGTAAGCCCCAATTTCTTAAATGACTCTTTTTCTTGATTCTTTTGAGTAGCGGTAGATTGTGGAGCAATAAGCTGACTCTCCATGGGTTCTGTTCCACTGGGACCATCTTCTATTATTTCTAAAAACAAACAAAAACATTTAGGGGAAACAAAGTGAAATGTTGATCTCATTTTCATCTAATCAGAACTTGTTCTTCCAAATTCACATGATCTGTCTTCCCATGGTTCACTTCTACATAAAAGAGAGCACATAGTCATTCTTAAAATCAGATTTATAAAAGTCTATATTCCTCTTAGAAACTGTAAAGCAGTACTGTACCTAGTTCAGGCTGTGTTTTTTTGTCTCCAACATGAACTATGGTGCTGCTGTAGCTGCACTGACTGGTTAAAGATACAACGCTCTCTGGCTTGCAAGGCAAAGTTAAAGAAGTTAAGTGAGCACCAACAACAGCAGAAGCATTCGATTTCTCAGGTATCTCCAACTCCGTAGGGCCTATGTGGGATTTTGACAGCACCCTTTCTTCTCAAATACCAACACATAACAACACAGAGATACACACACACACACACAAAGAAAAGAACAAGAAATGTATAAATGTCAGTTTCTAAAGACAAAATAAATAGGACGGCAAGTGAAGCATACAGCTCAGGTCTAACTAAATTGCTTTGAGGAGTCAAACACAGTTCCCACCCCTACCTAACATGACAAGTGATACTGACTGACAAATTTTTATACAGTGCATTATTAGTTGAAACAGTGGAGGCTGGTCTGTTAGGCAAATGGGGCACTGCTCCACCAACCTCAGTCTGCCCTCAGCCAGTTCCCACCTGCCTGTCTTCTTACTTGTTTACAACTAGTCAGGGAATGACTGTGCCTGTCATTGGCTCTGGTGCCACCTGCTGTTGGTCTCCATGCCTTCCACCCCATCAATCCCAGCAGGCACCAGCCACCACTGAGTGGGACTTACTTCTGAATAAACATGCATAGGATTGCATTACAAATTCGGTTAACAGTAAATACCTGTGGGTGTTTTAATGTCATGCCTTTTCTCTCTAAGCATATCAGAATTCAGTGAAGCAGCGTTTGAGGAAGGCTGTGATTTCTTCACTGCTTCACCTGCACTGCAGCTTTCCAAATACCTACAAGTCAAAGCAAAAAACCCCAGAAACCCTTGGTTAAAAACACACGCCCTGATCTTCTTAGAAATAAAGTTGCCAGTTCCATATAGCCATTGCTTTACTGGAGTGGAATGTTGTTCACCTGATAACACTGTCTAAACAGCTGATCTGCTGATATGAATAAACAGGTTGCTCTCCCCAAGTCAGTTCTTCTGCAGCCAAACTCCTCTGACAAGCCATTCCAACAGCATCATTTTCTGCTGGCTGAGTAGCACTTTCCACGTGGTCACTGGATTTTGCTGTGTAACAGAAACATCCCAAGAATGTTTATATATGGACCTTTCAAAAGCCAGGGAGCTGCTGAATGCACTCCTGGGAACATAGGTGGGGGCTTTAAGTATGAGCATGTAAGAGTTTCCAGTCTACAGCAAAGCTGTTTGTGCAAAATGACAACTACAAACAGGGCTGGATTGTGTGCACTTGACCACACACTGTGGACAAGGTATTCCTGGTTAAAGCTAAACTACTGGAGTTATTCCAAAATCTGATTCCAGATTAACTTGGCTATCATACCTGCATATTTTTTCTCACTTTCAAGCTTTGATCTGGAATTGACGAAGACGTGCTCTTTATTTTTGGCCTCACGTCCATCTTTACAAATACCTTGAGAAGAGTTCTAGAGTGAAGATTTAAAACAAACAAACGAGTTACTGAAAAAACTTACAGTAAGCCATACACGGTAATTGCTGATTGGGGTGAATGAAGAAGGTATTAGACTTCTGTTAGAAAAAACCGCAGGGTCAATTTCCCATTAGACTGAAACTATTAAGATAATATAATGAAAATCTTACAGGCTTGGGTATCCTCTGGGTATCTTCATTATTGTTCCCATTGCTGTCACTGGATGAAGCCACACTCATTAGGTGCTCATGTGATCCATTGCTTCCCAAACTTCCATAGCCACTAGAGCCACTGTTATGTACAGGCTAAATATAAATATATACACAAACATTTTCAACAGAAAAGAAAATGACTAGCTGGAGTCTATATACTGCAAATATTCTGCATACTGTAACTAGTAAGAATCAACCAAGCAATCAAGCAGTTCAAGAATCAAGCAAGCTATCAAGAAAGTCGATAAGTTTTTCCTCATATTCAAGAAATAATTTTAGAATTGCACCTAGAACCTGCATCTTCACTGACACAACCTCCTGTATAGGCAGACAATGATTGCAGGGATATATTTTCATGATAAAACAGGATAACAGGATAAGACAACATTCTAGTTAAGAGAATGAATGTCATTTTGCAAATCACCCGCAGCATAGGTGGCATGACACACCTGGGAAAATGCAAGTACTATCAGCAAGTCCATGCTCCAGAACAGAAATGGGGCAAAAATTGAGTCAGCATACCCATAAAACCCCAGTTGTTCTAGTTTATGGTGATGTAATCCCACTAACTTCAAGGTGAGCAGTCCAGTTTTAGTATTGCCTGTGCCTTCTTGTCCATAAACTTACAGTCAACAGAACTGCTGAAGTGAATAATACTGCAGTGGCTGAAGTAACGAGAAATTTCTTAAATAATTGAGAAAAGAAACCCAATGTTAATTTCTAGGTCAGAATTCTAAGAACAAGTATCTAAATACTTTGTAAGCCTACATTACTTTGGGACAAAAAATTATGAACATTTTACCTTATAACAGTCTTCTAGAGGAGACCCCAGAGGTTTAGGTAAATTTAGATTTAAAACACAGTAAGGAAAGTGTACCTGTAATAATAACCGATATATTTGCTCTGTAATTTCTTGGATGCTAGGGTGAAGGATTTTTTCTTCTGCGCACTGAGGTGTAAACACATCTTCGTTCAAGGGACCACTGTAAAAATCATTAATAATATCTAGAATATGACAAATGCATTTGTTTCAGTTATATCAGCCCTTGTTTTTCTATTGCATCTACAAACTTTTAAACTAATAAAATATTCAGGCTTACTCACTCCAAACATGACTTCTTCATTCTGAAGTAATTCTTGACAAGATTGGAAAGATCTGCAGCACTTACAAGTTTCTTGTTAAAAGCATTTACTTTATAGCACATATTTAAAAGAGCAATTTTTGTATGCACCCTCCCCCCTCAACAAATCTATGTTCAAAAATATGGTTGCAAATAGATTCCATTTTCTTATGTGTGAACTTTGCATGCTCCACACATTTGACAAACATCTCCATAATTACCAGTACTAAATACATAGAAGCAAAAACACCAGAACTATCCCAAATGTAGTCAGATATTATCCAATTATCACCGGTAAAGCATTTTTGAGCAGTGGCCATAATGTATAGCAATTATTATCGCATGAATGTTCTACATTGAATGGAGGTGGTTCTTGCTACTACTAATATGAAAGCCAGCAACTGTTAGTAGAAAGGTAGATAGCCACATCATAGGGGCAGCAGAGGTTTCAACCATTTAATTGGCATACTGCCATTCTGCAATTGCATGAATAACTTTAAAAAATTAAAACAGGTGCAGGAGCCTGAAATGGATCTGGACCCTGTCGTGAAGTGGGGAGGGGCATTAATGGAGGATTTAATCCTTTGTCCCCCAATCCGGATCAGGTCCTCTGCACTTGCTATTTTGTACTTGAAGAAAGGTGCCCATTAACACCAATAGAAGTGTTTCTTCAGTGCAAATAGCACATGAGCCCACCCACCTCAGATCAGGTCTGGATTTGGAGTGGGGGGGAAGGGTTAAAGTCTCCCTTATCTTGATCCAGAATGGGCACTCCACACCTGTTATATACTTTTAAAAAGCCATTCCCATAATTTCTGGTTATATAATGGAATCTGTTTCCGAAGATGTATAGATCAGCTCTTAAAGAATTTTTTTGGGGGGTGGGCAGCATTTCCAACAGGTTGTTGCTACTCAGGTAGTTGTGGAAATCGGGTTTCCACATTATTCTTTTCAGTATTTAAGAGACCAATCTCAAATAATTCATGACACAAGAACCTTCATTTTTATTACCACTTATTTACTTACGTTCTAACTTTGTGTCTTCCAATTATAAAAGAAATCTTTCGACTCCAGGGATTGATGAAACTGGACCAGCTAGTATCCAGAGTTATGTATTCACCATTTCTGGTGCAGAACCTGATTGGTGAATAATCAAATGGCTGTCCACCGCACTGAAGAACTGTAACAAAAAAAAATTGATTCAAATTTCAGCTTTATTGTAGAAATATTCACAATTTCTCATTTAAATGATCCAAGCATTTGTAATTCCCAAGATTTCACATGGAAACATTTAAATAAAGGTATCAAAATTAAATGTGCTTGAGAACTGAAGACTACTGAAAATTTACAGCTAAGCATAACTCTATTCCCTAATTATTAATCTTATCTATTTCTGAGTGGGGTAGAGGAATTTGTGGTGGTCTTAACATCAACATGGAATCAAATGGGGCTGTGGGTGTATAAGAGTCAGTGAATAATGTGAAAACACCAGATGTTATAGAAGTTTCAGAACTAAGCAGATGTAGACCTGGATGGGAGACCCATGTACAACCTAAAACAATAAAAAAAATAGAACAAAAGATATGGGTGCACTGATGACATATTACTCCTCATTTAATACAGTGGTACCTTGGTTTACGAACTTAATCCGTTCCGGAAGTCTGCTCTTAAACTAAAGCGTTCTTAAACCAAGGCATGCTTTCCTATAGCAGCGAGGGGCTCAATTTACACACACTCAACAGGAAGCAAAACATGTTCTGTTTCCAAGGCAAAGTTCACAAACCAAAACAACTACTTCTGGGTTTGCGTTCTTAATCCAAGTTGTTCATAAACTAAGATGTTCTTAAACCAAGGTACCATTGTATGATCTAGCTCATGATACTTGAGTCTACAATAAACAGTATGTGTATGTTTTTATGATCTAATAATCAGAAGAGCAATGAACTGATTAAAAGTTACCAAAAACTATATAAGGATCCCTCATCCTTTATTGCCCCCAACCTTCATGAAAAACACACCATGCAAAAGGAGTCACCTACTTTTTTTGTGAATTGCTATCATTAAAGGTCTGTCACTTGGATGAAGATGTACTAAGACAGGAGTTCCAATTAAGTCCTGAGGCAAGTATCCCAACAAAGGCACCGCTCTAACAACAACAAAAGGTTAAATAATCATGAAGCAAAATACATTTAAACACAGCCTTAAGTTCATTTACAGATTTTGTTGAAATAAAAACAGAATGTTTGGACTTGTATCAGGTTTAGTTCTGCAAACCAATAAGCGGAACCTAAATATTATTGTGTAATATTTACAACACTCTTTTCTGTGCTAATTGTCAGGACGTAAGAGGCAATTATGAAGCACGCAACCTCCGAAAAGTCTAGTAACTCTAGCAGTTGTGGTCACCTGCGATAAACCAAAGTGGTTTTCCAGGTGGGGCAGAGCTACTACATTGGCTTCATGGCAGGAGAGTCGCTCTTGCTTATTGGGGAGGGGGGGGCAGGCGAGATGGCAGGGAGGTCAGCACAGCAAACACACTGATGGGGTGGAGTCAATATGCCAACTTCCTGGCAGGTGGGTTGCAGCTGCTTATCAGTAGCGGGTGAGGTGGTGGGGAGGTTGGCATGGTGAAAAGGCACCATCAGAAGCACCAGATTGACTATGCCAGTAGATTTACACCACAACAACCTTTTCCCTGCCTCACCTTTCTCCCTCCTGGTAAGCAAGAGTGACCCACCTACTGGGAAGATGGCGTAGTAGCTCTGTCCTACCCAGCAAGCTGCTATAGTGACCATCTTCCCCCTTTTCCTACATAGAACAAGGTATCAAAAGAAGATTAAGTTATGCAATTTCAGTATAAGTAAATAAAGAAAAAAGGAGCTAAGAGGTCATCGTAGAAATGCAACCCATCACTGTTTTGAAGAACATTTCAAGAAAATGGGCATCAGAAAAACCTCTCCTGTCCCTAATGCAATACGGGTCAAACATGGATCAAATACACAATTAGATTCTCTAAGAGCTATTTTTTTAAAAAAATATCCTCATTATTTAAACAACTGCAAAGGTATCCCACCGAGGACATTTCACTATAGTCACACATCAATATTTCCTACCTATTTTTGCATTTGAGTCAATACTACAGCTAAATACACAACCATGCATATCATAGTTTTTAGTAGTTCACCTTTCATCCACATCTTGGAACAAACAACTTGGGGTGTGTGTAGTTGTAAATATCCTTTTATTAGAAGGAATTCTGGGTGCTGAAAGAAAAAAAAGGACAAGGTTTGTAGAACTAGAACTAGAACTAGAACTAGAACAAGATGCTTTATTTCAAGCACAAAAATAATTGCTGTATTATTACCTTCATAACCAGAGTGGACCTTTTCTGCAAGCAACACACAACAAAGCTGATCATCTTCATCTTGTACTTTGATAAGGTATGGAGTCATACGAAATGGGTGGTAGCAGATCTCACTAGTATGCTCCTCTTTCCCTGCACTAAAAATTAAAAGAAACAACAGTTGAGTTCTTATAGTTTGCATAGCCCACAAGCAGAATAAGGTATTTGGTAGGTGCATCTAAGCGATGGGCTTTGGACTATGCTACTTCAATGCACATATGGGGACTCTTAAACCCTCCTTCTTACTAAAGCATCCTCTGAAAAATCACCGGTGAAAAATCAAGAGACTCTCCAAGGTGACACTCTAGGAAGTGCAAGGAAAGGAAAAAGGCCAACCTCCCGTTTTCCATGACCATCTATGTGCAAGGGCCATTAGGCCTTATTATGTGAGAAGCAATATGTACAGTAGCGGCCAGCGAGGCAGTGAAGGTGGGACTCTATTGCTGTTCTCCTGGTTTCCCAACACAGGAGTTACAGTCGCTTACTGAGGGGAAGAAGGGGAGGGGTAAGTTATGGGGAGAGAGATGTAGTGGAGTCACTCTCTTGGTAAGCAACCCACTGTCTTGGGAAGCCGGGAGAGCAATAGAGCCCACCTGCACCACCTCACTTGCCACTACTGAATATGCAACAGCCTAGAAACTGCTTTTTGTGGTGACATCTTAAACTGTAAGGTCTATTCAGCTTTTAGTGAGGATTCTGGAATTCATCTTTGTAAGTCGGCTAAGCCACATACCAATGAACATAAACAGATTGAAGCAAAACATCTGTTAGTCCCCACGCTGACTTAAAATTTTGCCTCACCTGATGCGGCAGAAAAAAGACTTTTCCTCCATGCACTCCTGGGTGGTAGACTCTATAAAAATATAAAAGTATGAAAATGACTTTATAATCTACAGTAACAGAAAGAAGTGTATACTCTGAAAGTCAGAAAGATGTCCCCTGTAATTACTCAGCTGAAAACAATGCAAACACAGAGTAACTGGCAGAGAAAGGTGCCTTTCTTCTTGTTATTTTAGTGCAGTTAAGAGAACTCTACATTGTGTTTGCACCAAACTAATTTATCTAATACTAGATGTAGTTGTTAAAATAGGTTTTCAAAGCGAGAAGAGAAAATTCATATTTAAAAAATTGGAAGCTCCTCCCTAATCAAAGTTGCTATCTCTCAGGGCATCAGAAGACTGGGAAGTAACGGCATGAAGGTTGTTGTTCTATTCTGAACAATACAGTTTTAAAAGCTGCACAGAGTATATTCACATTAACTGCATGATGTTCCAGTGAAGGGACTGGAATAATATCAAAAGTAAAGTCTAGTTTTGCCAAAGAATTGAACAGAAGTATGCACAAAACCAACAAAAATTCTTCTGGGACCTTAAAAACTAATACACTTACTGTAACAAAAGCTTTCCTCACACAGAGTCCACCTTGTCAGACAAACAACTCAATGAAGTAAGCTAAGCCCCATGAAAGCTTCTGCCACAATAATTTTTTTCATATTGTTTTTAAGGTACCACAAGGTTCCTTGTTGATTTTGCAGCAACAGGTATACACAGTGACCTCTCTGGAGCATGTAAGTACAGTAATTAATCATCCTATTAGCGAGATGAAATGAGACAAAACAGATCAGAATATAAAATATTTGTATCTAATAGCTACAAATGACTGTGCCAATTAAAAAGAGCAAAACGCTAAAGAATCTGCAATTAAGCAAAGACATATCCTAATGGCTCAAATGCAGATGAGCAGTGGTGGTGGTGGGGCAACAATTTAAACACACTTACCAACTCCATTGCAAATAGTCCAGGATGGCAATCTGTATGGAGTAGTAGAGCTGTAGAACACACTGACATCCTGAGGTGCCAGAAACTCCACAAATTTGGCATTTTTAAATACATCTTTCTTACAGTGGAGAATAGAGGCAGCCTGATCGGAGATGTACAGAATTTTCCCAGTAGCCAAAGAAACAGCTACAGCAAACATATCCTTAAAAAAAACACAATAAAGCACCCAATACGTAGTAAGTCAAAACTAGTTTAGTCAGGGAAAATGTTAAACAGAAGTTTTGTGAGTTACAAATATTCTAAAGTAATGAGACATGGTAGGTTTACATTTTTTCTTGTTAAGAATATTAGTATTTACCTGCATATTTATCAATGATTTTTTAACAAAAATGTGGCAGTTGTAATCTAAAGCATATTTTCTTAGAAGAGTAACTCCATATAAGATTGTGTGGGGTACTCCAAGCAGTCATCAATACAATCTTCTTTGCCTCTTCTCCTTCTTGCAGATTGCCTTTGCACTTATCTGCGACAGACTTCCCATTTACTTAGAAAGAATAGGTTCCAATGGCTTACTCTTGACTCTTAACTATGGTTACACAATTATGAATGTTGAGTCTAATTAGCCCCAAGTGGTTTTCTAATGCTACTGAATTTCCTCTGGAAGCACTCAAAAGGTTGCAGAATAGTGCAAGATGGAAAGTCACAGAGATCCCCCATATATCACTGAAACTAGACCAAGAGCATTCTCTGTTCACAATGTGACAGATGTATGCTTTACCCTGGAAGGCAGTGGTTTCCTAGATTTTATTTTTCATTTCCTACAATGTTATCCTGCCTTTCCTCCCAAAAGCTGAAAGCAGCATGGGGATCTGGGTTGCTCACCCCAATGTAACCTCACACAAACTGTGTGTAGAAGACAGGCTGCCCTGGGGTCATCAGTGATCTTCACAGGCAAGAGGGAATTTGAACCTACATTTCATAGAGCAGGTTTAACACTTTAACCACCACACCACACTATCTGTGACGTAACACGGTGTATGCTGTTATTCGATTTAGAAATATAGAATCTGTGATTATTAACAACCGTGAATTTCTGCAACTCCCAGTTCAGTCTTTTAGAAAATCATTTGCACATGTGTTCATGGGCAAGGATACTCACTGCATTCTTCATGATGTATTCTGTAGTAATGTTTTCAACATCTTCCACAGTATAGGACAATACATCAAGGCCACATGGATAGCTTTCATTAGTCATCAACAACTGGTAATATTCTTCATTGGCTACAGGAGAACGAAGTTTATATTTTGAATAACACTGTTTAAGTTAAATCATATTCTGTAAAAATACATGGTAGTCTAATTAGAACAGAAAAGTAGCTCAGGAATATGCGTCCTACCATCAAGGTTTCCAGAGGCTTAAACAAACATTAAGAAAATACAACCTCTTCTATATATCTTCAGGTTGCTAAGCAGGTAGATGGTAATCCCCTCCCCCACCTTGGGTTATGACACCAGCTCTCAGGTGGCAGGTAAGGCAAGAGAGAGAGAGAGTGTGTCTAAACATGCAAGTGGTATCTTGTTTTAGAGCAGTTAATTTGAAATTTTTACTATGCAATGCTTTCACACTGTTCATCTGCAATACATGTTCATACTGAATAGATATCAAACAAGTCCCACCCTAGCGTTTTAGCTGAAGAAAGTAAAGACCAAGAAGAGGAAGGTTATGACAAATGAAATGTTCCAGGAATCCAACCAGCATACCAAGAGACACAGTTGTTAATTCAGAATCTCTCTTGCTGTTTCCTACTGTAGTTCAACAATGAAGTTTAAATTTCACTGATTCAACAGAAAGGTCTGATATAGTTACCTCTAACTTGCTTAATGCTTCCAAGTGCATACTTCAGAGTTGCCAGGATACTAGGCTTGCCTTTGATCCTTTTATCAGGAGGAAGATGCCTTTTTAATTCCTGCAATGTTTTTATTAGTTCCTTCTGGGTTTTAGATTTAGATGGTAGTTCGCTGCTAGACAACATGAACAAAAACAATTCTGGTTTAAATGTAGCTTTGTATTCTGCAAAGCCCAAGTTCTTAATGTTTATTACTTAAGAGAGCAAAATGATTAACTGGATGCAGACTGGGTATACACTGCTCTTAAGACTATTGAGATTTATAATTATTTCTTCCTTACATGGAGTGTTTATTCATATAAGGATCTAAAAGATGTGTGGTATGATCATTCTTAATTTACTGTTATTTAATATAAAAGAGATTACTTGAGAGAAGACCCAATGGAATTAATGGACAAGACTAATTTAGGTCTCTTTATTTCAATGGGTGAGATCCAACTGCAGCAGCTGTTAGTGCAACACAATACTCGTAGCAGAAGCCCTATTCTTAATGTAGTAGGGATGCCCTCGTGGGATTTCACAGGTCAGTCTGACTTCCTGTGAGATCTCATGACAGCATCCCTACTGGTCCCAGAGCCAGCACATCAAGCAGGCCTTGCCTGAGAAGCAAGGTAGGGAGCTTAAAAGTTCTTTTGGTGCCTGGTAACCCAAGAGGACACAGAGTGAAAAGAACATTCAAACTCTGGCCTTGCTTTCTGTTCAGCATGCTGACTCTGGTCCCTCTTCACTGTTTGTGGCAGCCCAGCTCCAAGGGAAACATGCTTTTGACTATAGGTGACTTTTGCATATACACTTTACCCTTGGAACCGAACCCCCTCATAAGATGTGAGCATGTTACATTTCAAGTTAGGGCTTAAAAACCACCAGCACTCTCAGTATCTCCATATAAATGGTTGAGTGGGGCATATCCAAGGCACCATATTGGATGATTTTGTAGCTACATTAGTGCAAGTTACATATACATTAATTCTCTCTCTCTCTCTCTCTCTCTCATTCATTCATTCATTCATTCATACAACCAAAACTACTATGTAGCATCATTACCTTTTATAGCAGTCTAAAGATTCCATAATCATAGTTGCTTCTTTCCCATTTTCTTCACCCTCATTGCTATGTGAATCATGCCCACTGGAGTAATTTTCACTTGCATCATTTGCACTGGATCCACCATTCATTTCAATATCTTCCTGAAGGGCTTCCAAATTCTGTTCATTCTTCATTTGAATATCCATGTTTTCTGCATTTGCCATTTCCAAATAGTCACTCATTTTGAGCAAATAACTTCAGGGTCAATGACTGTTATAAAATATTTTCTAAGAGTTCAAATTGTTTCATATAGTTCAGAATCCAGCTCCTCCGTTATAGAACAGAACACCTGTACTTAGCATAAGCTGCCGTACAGTTCTGATATTTTTAAAGCCATCTTTGTTATCAGTATTCAGCATTTTCAAATTTTACATCTGAGTTCACCTAGGAGGAAGAAAAACATTTGTTGAATGAGCATGCAAAGAACTACTGGCTGAATCTAGATGAAGTTAGTCACACTTTGGTACCACCGAAGTCAGCAGATCTTAAATGCATACAACATAGTTTGCATCTAACCCCATAAATATTAATTGTGAAAAAATGTGTTAATATTCTGGTTCTATTAACAAAATTAGTATATTGTTGCAGGTCATATGGTACATAATCACTTTAGATTTTCTGGTTCACCATTTCTATATAAATGATGGAAGGTTAGAGAAATTGTCCAAAAGTGCTTTCAGAGTTAGTCTCATTTAGGAGACTTAATATAACCCTGATGAACCAAAGGTTTATATACCCTAACTGAATTTTCTAGACATTTTACATATTGACCCATATTGACCTCGGCCAGTAAAGCGAGATGAGCGCCGCAACCCCAGAGTTGTTCGCGACTGGACTTAACTGTCAGGAGTCCTTTACCTTTTTTAACTACATTACTACTGCTAGCCATACTTGGATACTTTCTATTATGAAACTTACTGTACTATTCCTCTTACACCAAGAAACAGCCTTGAACCAAACAGCAGCAAATAACAAGAGGGAATAAGCAAATAATTGGATATAAGTATCTGCAGAGCCATAAATCTATATTGAGAGATATGGTCAGCTACTGGGATCACATTATGAAATACAACTGTCATGCCTTACCTTATATTTTAAAAAGAAAGGTTGGCATAAATGTACCATACATCACGGTCCCTCCCAGCTAGCATCAAAAAGCACAACCTAGGTCCAGAATGCAATGCACTTAAACCTTGTTTCTTCCTCTTCTAATGTTAATTCTCAGCCATTAGGATCCGGACACCTCTAGAACTATAAAATATAAGAGAAATACCTGGAATCCCACTGCAATGATGTTCTCTACAAATATTTTGGAAGCACATAAATGCCGAAGATGGTCAGTTATGCCAACCCTGTAACAAATAACTATTTAGCCTTTCATTTACAAAAGAGCACTAAGATCTGATTGTCCTTAGACCTTCATAGTTTCCAATTAGATTTTTCACTGACAAGTGGATTTTTCAAGCAACCTCTTGATGTATTTTTTAATAACTCTGGAACAAAAGGTATGAAAAGGGGGAAAAGGCATTACAACTTAAACTAGGTTTATACAGAAGTACCCATGAAATCCAAAAAATGTTACACTATAAAATAGTTTCTAACAGATATAGAATTAATCAGAGCTCAAGAGCAGATAGCATTTTAAGACCAGTGTGGTATTTACAAAGGAAAGTACTTATTCCCCCCAAAACACACACACTAGCAATTTTTTAAAATTATTTTATTTATTTAATAAAATTTATACACCACTTGATCGTAAAAAAAAATCAAAGCGGTTTCCAAAAAGATAAAACCAAGAAATCAGAAAAAAATTACAATACATGAAAACTTTTTCATTAAACAAAAAATTCAAAACATTTAGACTAATTCCTAAGCATACTTTAAGAGGATGTGAGTTCCACTAAACTACTCAGTCACCAAGGTATCAGATGTATGTGTGTGTGGGGGGGTGTGTGTTCTTATTATAGTAAATTAAGAATTAAGGATTTTAAAGATTGAAAACATACCAAGCATCTGCTTTAGGGGACACACCTTTTTCACGGGCTTCGAGTCAGTCAAACGGTTCTTTAGAAGAGAGCAGAAGTCGCACCTGTAGCATTAACAAAGACAGTTGTAAATTGGCAGTTTTTGCAATGAAAAAATCCAAACAAACTTTCAAAAAAAAATTCCTTCTAGTAGAACCTTAGAAACCAACTAAGTTTGTTATTGGTATGAGCTTTCGTGTGCATGCACACTTCTTCAGATACACTGAAACAGAAGTCACCAGACCCTTATATATAGTGGGAGGGTGGGGAGGGGTATTACTCAGAAGGGTGGTGGGAATGGGTGATTGGCTGATAGATGTGGTAAACCTGTTGACGACTTTCTGTCATAGTAACAGGTGTAGATTTATTTATTTTCAATCACTCCCACAGTACAATTCAAATAAAATATGGACAATTATATGCAGCACATTTGCTTTCTTAACACCACAGTGCAACTATGAAATTGACAACTAACCAGCACCTTATACTAGAAAAGTGCTGACCACTACATGCTTCCAGCTAAAACTCAGAAATAACACACTGCCTCCAGCCAAGCCTTACAACATAACCATATTTGTTCCAGTTACTGGGACAGGGATTTACCGGTAAATAAGGAAGATGCATATTAGAAATTAATGCATCAACATTTGTTTTTTAGGAAGAAGAGTGATCATGGTACATTCAGGCATGGCTAACATTTTAACATGCCACTTTTTTTTAATAGAGGTATTCATACCTCTTGTAGGAACTGACCAAGCACTTCTCTCCTGAAAATCCAAGTCTCCTAGTCAGGTTTGCAACATCAAGCATTTAATGCAAGTTAATATTCTAATACCATTTCCTGCTTAATCAAGAAAAACTAAACTTTTCTAAACTTCAAATGGTTCCACCATTTTTATTTGCATTCCTCAAGAGAAATAAAGTGGAGATGTAACAGATCTGTTAAATTGCCCCCAGTTATACTTAAGAACAAAGGTTGCATCCCTACCAGGTACAATGGTACCTCCGGTTATGAACTTAATTCGTTCCGGAGGTCTGTGTGTAACCCAAAACAGTTCTGAACATGAGGCGCACTTTCGCTATTGGCACCTCCCACTCCTGCTGTGCTACCGGCATGCAACTTCCGCTCGCATCCCGGGGCAAAGTTCGCAACCGGGAGCATCTATTTCCGGGTTAGTGGAGCTAGTAACCTGAAGTATTTGTAATGAGGACGGTATGTAACATGGGGCTCCACTGTCCTGTTCATTATAACCATCATTAACAGACACTGCAAAGCTGTGCATATTTGCTCAGAAATAGGTCTCATTGAGTTCAAAAGAGCTTTCCTCCAGGTAAGTGGGTATGGCAGCTTTTGCCAACCTGGACCCCTCCAGATGTTTTGTACTACAACTCATGCACAACCTTACTAGCTGGGGCTGAAGTGAGTTGTAATCCAAAATATCTGGGGGGAACCAGATCAGCAAATGCTGGTAAACAGAACTGCACTCACAGTTTGCCAATAGTCTTCAACAGCAGACACATCTTTCTATCTCATAACCATCTCCAGATTTTCACTACAGATACTATAAGAATTAATTGGCTTGTTGCTATGTTACTTAGCAACTAGGCCTTTTTGGCAATGAAAACCAGTCTGTCATAGTTATGTGCCATGTGTTTACATAATAGCTTAACGACAAAATGGTTTCACTGACTCAGCTATGAGCAAGCTACATTTGTTACTAAAATCATCTTTGCACATAAATAGGTCTATGACCAATCCTCTACTTGTCCTTTCTATCATATGCTTCTGTATGTTCAATGTATGTTTAAATGAAAAGCTGTCAAGAAACACCAATATTGTAACATTTGTTTTCAAAAGAGAACCATTCTTACAAATGAGGTAAGGGTTTTCATAAAAGGAAGCTGAAAGGGTAAATTAAAGATGTTATTTGACCTGCCCCGAATCTGACACTTTAACCCCTTAATTATATTGGATTTCAGTGTAAAGTCTTGTCCAAATGATGAAACAAAAGGGCTCCACAAATTCTGTCAAAACTGAGAAAATAAGTGTTCTATACATTAAGGCCAACACATTTAAATACGATAAGAGTGGGAAACTAGGGAGAGAAAAAACTGATTAAGGATAAGGGACATTGCAGAGAAGTTGAATGAGTTATTTGCATCTGTCTTCTCTGCAGAAGATACAATTCGAAGTCATTATTTCAGGAATGGTATCTGAAGAGCAGAGTGAAACAGTGACAACAGATGAAATTCTCAGACTTGGCAACAAAACTAAGAATTAGAAAGTCACAAGACAGAATGTATTGGAAACGACAGGCAAATTAGCTTAAATATTATATACTTACACACAGAGAGAGAGTGCATACACATATAGCAGAACAAACCTCACAAAAAAGAAGAATCAGCATGGATTTTGCAAAGCAAAGTCCTGCTTCACCAAACTTTTCAGTTCTTTGCCAGTGTCAACAAGAATGTGGATGGGAATTATTTGGCAGACATTCTAGTCATGGACTTTCAAACAGCATTTGACCAAGGTTTTCATTTAAAAAATCCGGGTCCTCTTATGGTTCACTATCTTCTGACAATTGGGGAAGCAAAGATAAAGTAACTTTCCCCGCCTTTCAGAACCAACATCATTGTTAAAATCAGCTCAGAATTACAAAAAAAAATCATGAATCCTAAGTCAGGCAACTGAAAAAGACCTCTAACTAGAAGGCTTTTAATGGGAAATCAACGGGGGGGGGGGGGATAGTAGACTGCACCAGTGGTTTATTATGAAAACCACAAGCCTCAGGCCAGGGCCTTGTTAGCATGTATGAAAATCCAAGCCTGGTCAGAACAGCTTCAATTCCATCATCAGAAAAAATAAATCAAGTGCATGGCCAAGTACAGGTATTCTCAAGTACTCTGCCACCTTGCCATGGGCCACTTGAATGGACCTCGTAGATCACAGCCTGAGAACCTCTATTGCAGAGCATGACATGATTGCCTCTTTTTGATTCAGGATATATGAATCCCAAAGTATAGGGGGTAGGGGGAAAATAAGAGCACTGGGAGAAAGGAACAGAATTGCCAACAAAAATAGATAAGATGTCATACAAATTTACTGAAGTTGCTGAAAATATCACCTTCTAGCCTTTAACAGAATAAGTTTTGTTCAGCCCAAATGCCCATCATTTGCTCCCCATTTTGTACTAGAGATGACCACCATCTTAAAAGTTTCCCGTTCCACATTTGTCTTTCTACTACTAAAGAGCTTTCAAAATTCCACTCCTGTGTTTCATAAAAAGCAGCAAGGTTCTTCCTTGTAATTCCAGGCCACAAGTACAGTTACATAAATGACTGTGTCAGAGGCACACAAACAGCACGCCTGCTTAAAGGAACACAGCAGAAACTTGAAATATCACTTCTGATAAAAACATCTCACCTAGTTTCAACTACTAATCAACTCCACCTATCACCTGCTATAAATGATGTATCAATTAGAGCTCCAATCCTATGCACATCTACTTGTGGAAAAGCCTTATCAATAAGGTGAAAATTACTTCTGTATAGGATTAGACTACAGTACAAGTTCTTAAAGGTATTTTACATCACTGGGAAAGGCTGCAGCAGGTGTTTTCCTTGCAAATAACATTCTGAAATCCCAAACCAATGAGAATTACTCAATGCAGTATTTCTTGAAGTACTATACTGCTGCACATATACTAGTATCAGGATGTTTTAATATTTTAAAGATGAGAGTGACATGAAAGTTTACTATCCAAACTAGTTTAAAAAAGCAAAATTATAAAGTCTTTTGAGAAAGCAAAATATATAACTTGCCATTCCTTCTCAACAATGCCCATTTACTTATGCTGCCCATACACTATCTCTGAATAAAGCAGGTGTACCACTCTGAATTTACCAGAGGAGTACTAAAAGACTGTATCACTTTTGTAATCAAAACTATTAAAAATCCAGACCAATTTAACCACTATCTAAAATGATAGCCATTCAGCATCAGCAAACATTTGCATAATCAATCATAAACCTAGGGACTTGTTGCTCAAGACACAACTAATCTCAGTTACATCACATCATTCTGCAATGAACTTGGGAGGCGGGGGCGGGTGGGGACCGTACAAAATTAACAAGGCATGCAACCAGCCAACGGGAAAAATTTACAGCACCTAAAATTAAAAACACATCTTGGCTCACTGAAAGCGCAAGTGAAGCATTAAGTGTAAACCATTATTCTATCCTACCACCTAACGCTAGGCTCAAAGGATTAGAGAAAGCCACCCTGGCAACCCTTGCGCAGCTTACCTGACAGCTCGCCTCCCGCCCCCCCCCCAACGTACAAAGCGTGTAGTACTGCCTTCAACGGAGCCTATGCAGAGTTTGGCCACGACTGACAGACGGAAAGCAGCCCAGTGACCCAGCGGTGGCCTAAGCGATCCGGTAGTGTCAGTCACTTACAACCCCCCATGGTAATCAACTCCAAGGAGCCTTCGCCCCCCCCCCCCAATAAAATATTTGACGGGGCCGCCCCCTCCACAAGTTGATGGGCATAGTCATTCAAATGCTGTTCGCGCACCACGTCATGTGATCGATTATGCGGGGCGGGGCTCACCTGCCCTCCCCCCCCAATATTTTATTCCAGTTGGCGCTCCAAGGGGCTCGCTCCGGTGCGTGCATTTCAGGAGGCGTGCAGCCTTATTATTAGTAGCACACTTACACAACCCAGGCACGCGCGAGGCCACTTCTTAAAAACTTCCGCTGCATCCCGATCCCCACGTGTCCTTCGGCTGCCGCCGCCGCCGCCCACCCCCCCCCCCCACGTGGGGGTCGCAAAAGCCACGCAGCTACATTATCTGCTGTACTTCATACCGCCGCTTTTCATGCCCGAGCACCTCGTTTCCTTGAATCCCATTTAAAAAGGAGAAAAGAAAGACGACCCCCCCCCGCCTGCCGCACAGCGAAACGCCACAGAATAAGAGGAAACGTGGGAACCTCCTCCTCCTCTTGGTTCAGATTAGTTAAGCCCCTCCATCCCACCGATACACAGGCAGGAGACCCCCCCCCCACGAAACCAAGCCAACCCAGGCATTTTCTCCCGCGCACAAGAGCAGCCTCGGCTCCACCGGCGCTGCCCCGTCCCGCCGCCCTTTTCCTCCCGCAGGAAGGGGGTGTGACGGGCAGGGAAAAGGCCAGGCCTCCCCGCCCCCCAAACACCACCAGCGCCGCTTGCTTACCCTGACCGAGGCTCCCGCGCCCCCCGCGCTACAGCCCCGGCGGTGGCGGCGGGCGCGAGGAGCGGCTGACCCGCCTGGCGGAAGCCGCCGGTTATACAACGAGTGACGCTGCCTGCCTCGAGAGGGCTCCGCGGGGGCGGAAACGGGGATGGGGGAGAAGGACGGGAGCGGTCGGTAGTCCTTCCTTCGCCCACCCCCTCCGCTCGGCCGCTTCCCTCGTTTCTCCCCTCAGCGGCTCACTCGCCGCCGCCTCTTCCTTCCCCGGGAAGCGGCCCCCTCACAGCCCGGCAAACTCCGGGCTTCATACCGTCAGAAACGTGACCGTGCCTGAGGGAGCCCGCTCGGGCGGGCGGGGATTGGCTGAGGCGAAGCCACATCTGCATACCGTGTGGGCCGCGTCGCCGCTCGGGGAGCCTCCATTGGCCGCGGCGGACGCCACTCGAGTTGCATAAGCCTCACGTGTGACTCCATGTTTCTTCAGCAAGTGGGCTAGTAGAAGCGGCGGCGGGTGAAGCGATGTTGTTTCTCGGTGCGGCGCTGCTCGCCTTCTCCGGCTCGCTTCAGCCAAGGAAGGGGCGGCTTCCCGGAGGAGCCCGGGGAAGGGGACGGCCAGCTGACCGGCGTCCTGAATTGCCGGCGCCCTAGGCATAGGAGGACATTTTTCCCGCGTGTCTGGAGGGTTAGCGGGGTGGGAAGGCTTCTGCAGGGCCGGCCCTGCCGTTGGGCCTGCAGGAGAAGCTACCCCAAGGAAGCAGCAAATCTGGGGTGTCAGCTTGGGCTGGCCCTGGGAGTCTGCCTTTCTGTGCGAGGAAAACAGGACAGATGGTGTTCGTTTGATAAGCAGTGGGGTGGCCCTGATTTAAATAGCCCACATGACGCCACTGCTTTAAACATTAAAAAGCACAATAGGGTGGTATGTTGTTATTATATATTAATTTATATCCCTTCTTGTTCCCTGATGGGACTCAAGGCACCTTAAAGATCACTGAAGAAGAAGAAACCACTAAAAATGTAGAAAAAAGCAATTAAACATTGGTAGATTATAGATAGATAGATAGACAGATAGATTTAATTCTGTTAAAACCATGCAAATAGTTACAATAAAAAGCATGACACCAGCCCTTTCAGTAAAAGCAGGCAGTTCCCCAAAGCCTGTTGAAACAATGTCCTCATCTGTCCGCAGAAGGACAACGAGCAATTAAATGTTGGGCTTGTCTACATTTCCATTTGGTCCATGTCCTACTGTTTACTGTCAACTGTCGATTGGGTTTTCTGCAAGTTGACGTTTTTTGTGATACAGTGGAGGAGGAAGGGAAAGGAGAATGTTAGCCACTTTGAGACTCCTTCTAGTAGTGATAAGGCAGGATATCAAATCCAAACTCCTCTTCTGCAGTGGCAAGCTGGGTTTTCCCAGGGGAAGTGGGGCAAAATATAAAACCTCTTGGACCTGTGCCTAGAAGTCACAGTCCAAATGGAAGAAATTGTGAAACAAAGGGAAGTGGATTAGTGCTACACTTCTAAACATGTTTTGAGGGAAGAGAAGAAATGTTCTTTCTGCCTGTTGGATTAGCTGGTGCCTTCACACACGTTTACATCAATTAAATGAGCTGCTTTTGATGTTAATATTTTCAATAAGGAAATCCGCTAGGAGCAAGTGCTCTCCACCTCTGTGCAAAGGGCCAGATTAAGGGTAAAGCAATCTTAATTAAGGTAGGGGAGGGATGATGACGTAAAACTAGTAATTACAAATGTAGTTATTGTATCACAGAAGTTGCTAACCCTGCAGAGCCATTCATTACTTCTGGCGTCAAGTACATTGGTTTGGTAATGAAGTTGCACCTAACTGGTTTTAAAGAATGGGCTCAGATGAGCCTGTTACCTTTCACTTCATCTGTCTTACAATTTTTTCAACATCAGGATGTAGAAAAGATTATAGTATGTTCGTTTTTTGTTGTGCCTCAGAGTATTTCAAAGTGTGTTGGGGATTATACAGTGACAATATCAGTAATGGTGGACAGACTTCCTTGAAAGAATATTGCCCATCACCACCAGGCTTCCTAAAATCCAGTTCCTGTGGAGTAACAGTGAAGCCCAACTAGCCATATCAGTGCCCCGTGTAAATGTTACCCAGTATGTCTCTAGTCACACAGACTTTTCCGCAGATAGGTTTGGATATCCTGAAACAATGTTTAAAAATCTGTTTTTAAAGCAAACAATGGAGTGATTTAAGGCAAAGTCACAATTCATACCCTCTATAGGAGTAAGTTGCTGCTGCTCTATAACCAAAAAAGGTTGATAAGGCAGCTTTCAGTGATCAATAATAAAACAGGCTTCTGGTCCCACAGGAGGATGTTCCTATGGAAACGACACAGAGATAAAATTCCTTAGTCAACTACAGTATCCATGAAAGCCACTTACAAAAGAGAGAATAGGTAGAGAATACCAGGAATGGGCAATCCAGTTCTGCCTTGCCTACTTGACACATCACCAATGCCACATTTCCCTTTTTATATAAAAAAATGCAGAAGATACCCGATTACATTACTTCATATTATGAAATATATTCAGGGTTCCTGAACAGCAAATTTTAAAGTAATCCAGATATTTGTGGAATTGGTGTTTGTTATTTGTTTTTAAAACCTGCCTGCCTTCTGTTTCTTTCACATTTTTTGTCTCCAGCTGTGGAATTGATTCTCCATTGATTCTCAGGAGGTCAGAAAAATTGCCTGACCTCTTTACACATACTTTCTATCCCTTTTAAAAGAGGTAAAATGTTTACTCTGATATCAGCAATATAACACTTTATTGAAGGCAATATATCTATTGTTATGTACTGATAATACTTTTATCCTGTCTCATTTAATGGTGATTTTTGATGTTCATTGCCCAAGAACATTTAAAGAAATAATTATGCATTGGCTTTGTCTTGTACATCACACCTGTGTGAACTACATGGCTGTGTACTGATGTTTAGCTATGCTGGAGAAATCAGACAGCTGCAATGCCCATTTGCACTACTGCTGTTTCCTTGCCATGTAGGATCCCTTCCGTTTTTTAAAAGGAAGTTCTGTGCTCCTGATTTCTCTCTTAAAAGCTGTGACAACACCAGCAGATGCAGGTAAAGTGTAACATTCCAAAAAATACCACAATATAGTTCTAGCAACTGTTATTGCCAACATTTATTTCAAGGAATTGCTAGGAATGTCAGTAAAAAGTTAGCACCAAAATTTTGTCCAAAGTAAAATTCAAAGCTAATGCTTTGACCATAACCAACGTTATGAAGAAATCTGCAGGAAGTCAGCAGAATTTCAGTAAGGCTGGCAAAAGATCTTAAAGGGATTTCATACATCCAGTAACTTTCCAAATCCTATATGAGGTACATTTGGCATACAAGCATTTATGTATTTCATTTTCCATGGGTGCGGGTGCACATACACTTGTATCATAAAAGTCCGTCTTTCTGACAAACACATACACTCACTGCGCAATTTACCTTCATCTTACTGCTTCACCTTCACCAACCTTCTAGGTTAATTCCACGCTTGTTAAGAGAAGAGCATTTTGAACACTTAAGAGGATGAAAACTGTAGGGCCCCTCTTCCAAATCCCATTAGTTTAAACTGACATTTCCTCTTCGTTCTAGGTCAGATTTTGTAGCGGAATGATGAAAGAGTTAGCCCTTACTGGGCTATGGAAGTAGGGTGATCCTCCTGTGTTTCTAAATGTCCAGTAGAAACTGAATCAGAGGCTAGCAAAGGAAAAATCACTCTGTGAAGCTGGGTTAATGTACATCAGCAGAAAATTTAATTCAATGTCTTTCATATTCTTGCCAAGATTTTAAAATGCAGAAGTGGTAGATGGTGATGATGCTGATGATTATACCCCACCCATCTGGCTGGGTTTCCCCAGCCACTCTGGACGGCTCACAGCATATATCAGAACATACTAACGCATCAAATATTAAAAACTTCCCGATACAGGGCTGCCTTCAGATGTCTTCTAAAAGTCAGGTAATTGTTTATTTCCTTGACATCTGAAGGGAGGGTGTTTCACAGGGAGGGTGCCACTACCGAGAAGGCCCTCTGCCTGGTTCCTTGTAACCTTGCTGCTTGCAGTGAGGGAACCAGCAGAAGACGCCTGAAGGAGAACCTCAGTGTTAGGGCTGAACAATGGGGGAGGAGATGCTCCTTCAGGTATGTTGGGTCAAGGCCATTTAGGGTTTTAAAGGTCAGCATCCACACTTTGAATTGTGCTCAGAAATGCACTGGGAGCCAATGAAGATCCCTTAGGTCCTCTTCACTGTCGCTTTCGCCACTTGGTAGGCTCGATGTTGAGCTCTTATTCTGTGTTCGGTCCAATTCAGAATGAGTTTTCCTTCATCGGTGCTCTAGCCGTCTCAGCTATGTTTCATCACCCTCAGCTCTGGGGAAATCCACGTGGCCATCCAGGCTCCATGCAATTGGAGAGGGTGCTTCAGAGCCAGACAGTTAATAGCCCTGGTTAGCTCCGCATTCCAGAGGGCCACCAGGGAATCAACTGAAAGGCCATCAACATGGGATAAAACATCCCCTACTACTCTCTGGAAACCATTTGGTTCCATTAAGTGGTAGGGGCGGATCATCCAAATTGGTCTCACTTCCCTGCAGAGGGGAAGGGTTGTGGAGAAGTTCAGTTGCACCAGGAAGTGATCCAACCATGACACTTCTTTTGTTTCATTTTATTTAGTTTCAGATCACCCACATCCATAGAGGTGAACACCAGGCCTAAGGCATGTCCATGGCTATGAGTTGGGCCAAACTTATTCAGGGACAGCCCCATAGAGGCCACGCTTTCCACAATGTCCCGAGCGACCCCTTGTAAGGTGGTGTCAGCATGGATGTTAAAATCCCCTAGGACAACCAAACTAGGTGTCTCCAAGAGGACATCGGCCACAGCCTGAAGCAGCTTGGGCAGGGAATCCTTGTTGCAGCGGGGAGGTCGGTATACCAGTAGGAATCCTGTACTGCCCCTATTACCCAACTTCCAGAACATGCACTCAGAAAACTGGGTCTTCCCAATAGGATGCCTGGTGCCGGCTAATTACTTCCTAAAGAATTTGTCAACTTCTTTGGCTTCATGGTGGCATCTGTTTGTATGTCTCCACATATACTAGCACCAAAAAGCTTGTTATCTTGACTAGGACACCAAAAGCCATACACTGCTGTGTATATTTCCAGTTTTCGTCTTCTTGGAGTAGCTCCTTCCAAAGACACCTCTGAAATTGCATCCTATGAAATATAAGAGTTGCCACTTGAAAATTGGTATGCGCACAAACACACCTGGTGAATGGGTGAAAGTAGTGGGCCTTTTGGATCCTGGCTCCAGTGTTTATGCACCATAGCCTCCCCCCTTTATATTTAATAAATAAATCTCTGAATTTATCAAAGTCACATTCAAAAAAATGGAATTATTGCAATCACCTTCTTAAAAGAAAAATTTATTGGTGCAAACATCCATATTACAAATGTGTACAGTAGCCTTGAAAAATACACCACCACTTCAAAATTCCACTATACACAAAAGTATAATGCTATCAGATTTTGTAAATAGTGCACATCAAAAGAAGTCAAGTTATTTACATGCAGAATTTCATTACTTAGATGTGCATTT